GTTGCCACGTTTACAACAAAGCTGGTCTTATGTTATTATATTTTGCCGATCATGTATTAAAAAGCCTTGATATGATATATGATACATGTACATCAGGGCAGTCAACTAAATCGAGGCAAAATTAATATAGCGGTCTCGAAATAGTACTGACACGATGTTTTGATTTTGTACATGTGTGTAGCAACGTCCCGTCAAGAGAACGCTCATTACTTACTTCCACCTGATTTATTTCCACTGCTATTTAGTTGACCTGCAACTGAGTTTTATACTTTCTGTTTTATTATTACCCGATCCTGATTTATGAATGTCTGTGGGCCTGCAAGAATCACTCTAGTTGTTTATAAGATAAAAATGTTATCGCGAAAGTAAACCAGAGACACACATTAGATCAAAAGAAATACCCGCATTGCCAGTCTGTTTATTAGTAGTCTGAGGTGAAACACATGCACTGCACATTCGACTAAGCAAAGACATTATCAAAAACGATCCGAGATGAACAATGATGAATATTTCTTTCAGACACAATAATTGGCATTATAATTTCCAGAAAATTATGTTTATTATGCGATTTTGTGATCATCCCACAATTCAAATGACTTCTTCAATTTTCATGAGATCTTCATCGCGTATCACGCATCTTACAAACCCTCAACTTATTAAACCCTTGGCGTCAGAGAATTTATCTGTATGCCACTGTGTCGCCTTCGCGCGAGATTATTCTGAAACTATCATTCCTGAAGGCATGTATTTGGTTAATTCCAAATATTTTCGGTAAAGAATAGCTTTCAGAACAGTCTGTTAGATATAGAGAGTTTATTGTTTGTTCTGAGGCTGGTCAACAGTTTTTCGTCGTCACGTCACTCCAGTTACATTTTCTTTGATCATACATTTTACATACATTGTGATATTCCGGTAAAAATTAGACGCATATTATATTTCAACAGAACAGTAATTTCATATAACACTTACTTCTCGTCTTCACAGACCCAGTCACCATCGTTCATCTTAAAGTTTGGTTTATTTGAGAAGGGAGGTCCTCCTGCGAGAGGCGCAAGGACTTCGTCCGCCATATTGACCGCCAGCACTGCGACAGAAGCTATTCAAATTTATGTAGCAGACGATTCAACCATAT